GTGGTGGGGTGGGGGGGGGGAGTTAGGGATTAAGATTTTAATTATTTATATATGAGTTTAATTTTAGAGAAATTATTGAACCGCATGTGATCTACGGCGGTGTGATTGTATTGAGACCGTAGTTCAGCCGTGCAGTCATCCGTACGTAATAATTTTCCTTAATTTAGGGTTTTGGGAGTATGCGTTCACCCCTTAGTTGAGGTATTATATACATGTGATTAGCTAAGTATGATCTATATAGACACTGTAATATCTCACTTATCAATATTGGATGTGACTTTTCTCGTGATTTCTTAGTTTGTGAGGGATCGTTGGATGAACGGGGCTTGGCTTCAATTTGATCGAACATCTCGCTCCACTTGGTCGACCCGGTGTAGTACATAGTTTGTTGCTTTCGTTACGATTGGATGGAAATTTGTTTCTCAAGAGATGGATTTATATAAGACTATTGTTAGTGATATTATTAAGATTATCATTAAAAGATGGAATTTCTTTTTATCCCCTCTTTTTAATTTGATAGTGTTTCTTATAGCCTGAATTGACTCTATCCTCTTGTTTAGGCTTGAGAGCATCTGAGAGATTTTCAATGGCCTTTATAAGATGGAGAGCTGAAGTACAAATATGAAGTGATAATAGAACATTGGGTTCTTTCATTTTGAATTCCACGCTCCCATTCTAAAATATTACGTTTAGTAAACCAAACAGACGATCGATTAAGTAAATCCCACCACACTGCCGTAAACACGGCGTGATGTGACCCAGGATGTCGTCTATGCATCCCGATGACGGACATAATATTTTTTTCCCCTTTCCAACCATACCATAATATAGAAAAATTACACTATGGAAAAAATCCCTTAATACTTACTAGACGGCAAGTGGGACCCATCTATATGGTAATGCAAAAAAGCCCACCAATATATGAATTTTTGCGCTCTATTTAAAATTTGTGCAGGTCAATCCTATTACAAACGAATAGTACATAATATGATCCTTCTTAAGATTTTACCTAAATTATCACCAAGTGAAAATGCATACCATTCTTCCAAGGTTAAATCCGAATGACGTCGAGGTGGCGAGGTGATGCAAATATAAAATTTGATACAACACAATTTTGATAAATGAAGGGCATAAACCCACATTATACATGGTATTTTAAACAAATAATCACTTCTAGAATTTAATATGACATTTAATTTCCATGTTAATGTGATGGTAAAGCACCAAAAAATAGTTGTAGTGAAATTCACAAATGCAATTTCCTTCCTTCCCCTAAGTTTTTTATGGGCTACATTACACCTAATTCACATGCACTTACATAACTAAGATCTAAACTTTAAATTTTTATATTTATACCACTCAAATCATTCACATCACAAAAAAGATACCACCATGTTAACTTTTAAAAGGTACAGTATGCATTTCTTGCATAAGTAAAATAGTACATGGAAGTAAAAATTAAGGTTAGGTATTAGAAATGTAAATACACAGGAATTGAGTGGTATGTATGTAAATATTCCCTAATGGCATTCCATCACCTAAGAAAGCATTGCAACCTCATCCAAATATCATAAACACAAAAACAACAACAACAAACTTTTATCCCACATACAAAAATAGGGCTTTGGTATTATAAACTAAAAAAAAGGGGGGAATAATTACATACAGACCACTAGAAACATTGATATTTACAAATCAACAACCCAAGTGATTTTTTTGAACTACAGAACCGATGGATTTATGTGTATCACAATCAAACTATTGAGAATTTGATAAAAATGAAAAACATGAGTTGAGGTTTAACCATGAATTTTGATAATTGAGTGAGAACACGAAAAGTGGATGAAAGATGGTGGTTGATTTTTAAATAGCAAGTTTCGGGTGATCTGTATACAATTGCCCCAAAAAAAGAACAAAAAATTTACAAACACATATCATAGCAGGAGATGAGCATAATTCCAATGAAAATGATTTAATGGATGAGCTTAAAAGAAATAATTAAGATAATTGCCAGCAAGAGGGTTACTATTAAGCAGCCTATGATCCACTTGTTCCTGTTCATCCTTTTTGATATGGAAGCTAGCACCCTCCTGCTTCTGCCTATGTTATCATCCACACCATGCAACTGCACAAACCACAGAATAAATTATCAAAACAATTTACATGCATACCACTCGATTATAGGAATAGAGCTGAAGTTCAGAATTATATATAAAATTAGGAAGATTTACATACATACCACAGAATTATTATGTACTTATATATCTAACACCACCTAAACTTCAATTTTTGCATATGTATACCACCCTAACTATGCATGAAAAGGTGTTTTTCACTTAAAAATAGTGATACATAAGATGTGGTGTGAAAGATTTGAATGTTATCAATGTAAAAAGGGTAATGTTTAGGTGTTAGATATGTAAATACATAGGAACTGCCACAAACAAGAGACAAGGGGTCTAAATCTTTTTTCTTTTTGTTTTGGGGGCATCTGTTTTTGGGAACATTTACATATATAGAAGACAATTCTTATGTATTTACAAATCTCACACCTAAACTTCAGTATTTACACACATAGCACTTCAAATCTTTAATATCACATCAAAAGTAGTACTATTATCAATTTTTCATCCATAAGTTTAAAGCACCAAACTGCTATGTATGTAAATATAAAATTTTAGTGTCAAATATGTGAATGCATAAGAATTTTGTGCTACATATTAAAATTTTCCTTTTTATGAGCCAGGGTGAGAGCTCCAACCAGAAACTTGGATTTCTTCACTATGTTTCTAGCCAATATACTATGCAGTCGAGTACTTGTGGCCCAAATCTAATTGTACATTTCAAGAAATCTAATTGTAAGAATACTGTTGGCAAGATAAAAACTAAAGTTTGCACAGTTTTCTACGAACGGCCCGAATAGATTCGCATATTTTCAGTACTCTTTCTCCGCTCTATTGTTTTCTCTTAATCTTCCCCTCCATCACTACAGTAGTACAATCCTCAGTTGCCTGGATTATGGCAATACACTCCTTATTTTTATCTCTCTACGCCGTATTCTCAACCTTCATCTTGTAAAATTTTCTACCAATCAAACATTATGACCTTGCTTTGGGCTCAAACAAAGTGGTCCCTCCAATTTTGATATTTTGTTGATAAATTATCGAGAATCGTGGGTATTGAAAGTCGACAAACCAAGGCATTTGACCCGCCCACAATCCCCAACTTATTGAAACACCGTCTTCAATTAGAACATTATTCATTAAAGCATCAACTCTTTAACAACTGCTGCTCCCCATAAAGGTGTGACGTTGCATAATGTCTGGTTATTAAGACACATGAGAAGCTAGAAAGGCCACAATTAATGCCTCATGCAACTCCTTTCTTTGCTTAAAAAAGGGACAATTACATGCACAAAAAATGTTATTTATAAAACTATTACTCAGGTAATTTTTTTTAACTACAAAACCGATGCATTTAGGCGTGCCACAATCAAAAATTGAGAATATGATAAAAATGAAAAGGGGCATTTACATACATAGCATGCAATTCTTATGTATTCTAAAATTTTGTATTTATATGCATAGCACTCAAATCCTTAATATCACATTAAAAATAGCACTCTTAGCACTTTTTAAAAGTGAAGTACGCCTTCATGCATAGGTTTCAAGCACCAAAACACTATATATGTAAATATAAAAGTTTAGGCGTGAGATATGTAAATATATAGGAATTGTGCGCTACATATGTAAATTTTCAAAAATGAAAATTATGGGTTTTAGATTTTAACATGAATTTTAATGGTTCGGTAACAATTTGAATACTTGGATGAAGGAGCATGCTAGATTAGTAAATAGTAATGTTTCGAGTGATATGCGTGTAATTGTCCCTAACAAAAAAAAGAAGAAAAGCAGTGCAAGATGAAAGCGGTAGAGATCAAGGGATGAGATTTCAATCACGGGGTGAACTAAACCACAAGCCATACACTTCTCAGATCTTTCCTTCATCTTTTTAACAGCTTCTTTTACTCTTATTTGTCTAAAGGTCTCCATTCTACTCTCCTTATAGCGGATGTAAGCCACAAAATTGAACCACTTAAAAAATTATAATTGTATGTTATGAAAGAATGTTGCATTTTCATAAGTATTGTTTTGAAGATATGCAGCTAGTTTAGCTGGGTGCAGTAAATCATGGTCAATTAAAATCCCATAACTTACTCTTTTTTTTACATTTCAGAGGCAGAAACACTCTAAAAACAACAACAATAGTAATAATAATAATAATAATAATAAGGGGCATTTACATACATACCACCCAATTCCTTTGAATATACATATCTAACACCTAAACTTTGCCTTTTTACATTTATACAACACAAATCTTTCATATATCTCATAAAAAATATCACTTTTAACTTTTGAATAGTGAAATGCACCTTTTCATGTATAGGTAAAGGTGGTAATGTAAAAATTGAAGTTTAGGTGTTAGATATGTAAATACATAGGAATTGAGTGGTATGTATGTAAATACATAGGTCTTAAAAATGTATGAAGTCAGGGTCTCACTTGTTCTTAAGAAAGTGATGATTTTGTTCCTCTAATTTTAAGTCTAGAAAAAGCACCCATTGCGTTTGATAGAATTTAGAGAGGGTTGCGGAGCTTAAAATTAATTTTGATCTGCCTACATCCTACCAAATGATAAATATAACAAATTTCAGATTCTTTTAAAACATGTTTTCTAACTTAAAACAATAGAATAAGCATTAGGAATTAATAAAAAAAAGCAAGATTTACATACATACCACTCAATTCCTATATATTTACATACCTAACGCCTAAACTTCAATTTTTACATACATACCACCTTACCTATGCGTGCAAAAGAGTCTTTGACATTTTAAAGGTTAAAATGGTGTTATTTTTTATGTGATATGAGAGATTTGGATGATATAAACGTAACAAAGTAAAATTTTGGTGTTAGATATGTAAATTCATAGGAATTGAGAGGCATGTACGTAAACACCCCAAAAGAAAAGACCAAAGAACTTACTGTATTGTGAGCATGTAGAAGTGATTGCCGTTGTTCATGCAGATCTTGTAAAATTGAGACACCAAGTTCTTCTGTCCCTAACATGGTTCTTCTGCTCTCCCTTATCCTTTCGCTAGACTGGTTCAATCTCTCAGTTGACATTAACAGCCTTTCCCTTTGATCAGCAGAGACCTACACCATCTAATAATTCATGGTTAGCAAGGATAACCAACTACCAAAACAATTAGAAAGATTTACATGCATGAAAATGTGCAATTTACTTTTTAAAAGTTAAAATGGTGGTAGTGTCGATGTGATGTGAAAATTTTGGGTGGTATAAATGTATAAAGTAAAATATATGTGTTGGATATGTAAAAACATGAAAATTGGATGATTTGTAGGTAAATGCTCAAAACAAATATCAGGAGCTTTTTACATACATAGCATACAATTCTTATGTATTTACAAATCCCATGCCTAAACTTTCATAATTACCCATAGAACATTCAAATATTTGATATCACATTAAAAATAGCACTATTGCCGCTTTTTAAAAGTGAAATACACATTCTCATTCATAGATTTAAAACACCAGAGAGTTATGTATGTAATACACATTCTACATCTGAACATTCATAGGATTTAATAGATTTAAAGAGTTCTCCTCTAGCAAATTTAAAAAATGAAACAGATAGCCAAGCAATATATCTGAACTAAACATTAGTTGATAGTGTCATGTCAAACTGTTTTCAGGCTTCTAATCCTCTCAAGATTTATTAGATCTGGATTTACAGTGTGTAAAAAATCATATTTGTAGCCAAACAACCGAAAAGAATGACCGAGTGATTCAAATCATTAGTTTTGTAATAAATTCCAGCAGTATCTTCTGAATCATAAACATATCAAACAAAATGAGTACGGAAGATTTACATACATCTCAATTCCTATGTAGTTACATATCTAAGACGTAAACTTCAGTTTTTTCTTGCATGCCAACTTAACTATACATGAAAAAGTAGTATTTAGTAATTTAAAAGTTGCAATAATGGTATTTTTTATGTGATATGAAAGATTTAGGCGGTATAAATGCAAAAAAATAAAGTTTATGTTATAATTTAATGTTAAATAGATGTAACAAATGGTAAAATAAACAAAAGAAAGAGCACGCAAATTTTACGTGGAAAACCCAGGATGGAAAAACCAGATTCTGAAAAAAAGAATTCACTGTATTAAATAAGATATTACAACTGGAGAGTATCATTTACACAAAACAGAATATGCGTGTGTAGTTTTAGCAAGGCACCTTTACAACAACAACAACAACAACAAAGCCTTAATCCCAATACGTGGGGTCCACTGCATGAATCCTTTTTCTCCATTGTGTCCTATTTAGTGTCATATTTTCATTTAGTTCTAGTAAATTGAGATCATTTTTAATACAATAAGCCCAAGTCTTCCTAGGCCTACCTCTGTCTTTCTTAACACAAGTCGAATATAAAACATCTACTCTCCTAATTGCATCATCAGACGGTCGACGTTTAATGTGACCAAACCATCTAAGACGACTTTCTCTAATTTTGTCTGTCACATGAGCTACACCAACCCTATCACGAATATATTTATTTTGTATTTTGTCTCTAAGTGTAAAGCCACTCATCCACCTAATCATTCTCATCTCGGCAACACTTAAGTTATTATTATGCTTCTCTTTTAAAGGCCAACATCAGCGCCAAAGAGCATTGCAGGTCTCACCACCATCTTATAAAATTTTCCTTTCAGTCTAAGCGGTACTTTTTCATTACACAAAAGGCCCGAAGCATTCCTCCACTTCAACCAACCAACTTGAATTCTACTATTAACATCTCCATCTATATCACCATCGTTTTGAACAACGGACCCAATATATCTAAATCGTTCACACTTTTTAATAATTTGATCACCCAAAGTCACACTTTTGTCACTAGAGCTATTACTACTAAAATTGCATTCCATGTATTCGGTTTTAATTCTACTTGAACGAAGGCCTTTAGACTCCAATGTAGACCTCCATAATTCAAGTTTTTTCCTAAGCTTTTTCTCTCGTTTTATCCACGAGAAGGATATCATCAGCAAAAAGCACACACCAAGGTAC